TCAAAACCAGATCTCACTTTACAATGACACCGATAACTGATCAAGGAGAAGACAATAGAAATTTGCTGCCCGACGTACGTCTGCGTCTCAAGAGACTCCAGCTAAGCTACATCATCGGAGCTTTCTGCCTCGTTAGGCTCGCATAAGTCCGATTCCTGAGAGAGAGTCATTTAGATAATTTGAGGCCTACAGATGCCGCCTGCTTCAATCTGCACAGTCTGCTTTTGATGAAAAGCCACGATAAGATACATGTTCTTGCTTACTGCTCCTTACCTTTGTTGTAGGATCGAGATAGTCGCTGGTTGGAGAGACCAATTACGCCCGGCAATGCAGGCGTGCAGTAGTTTCGTAGGCCTCACTTGCAAGAAGCAGGCAGTTGGTTTACCAGCCAATCCGCTTGGCCTATACACAAAATGCAGCTAGGCCTTATCGAAACCATTAGAACACATCAAAAGTCTTGGTGTTCTCACTGCAAGTCGGCACCCAATTGAACAAACGTCTGGCAGCTATTTGAGGGTTTGCATTTCTTCAAAGCTTGTGAAATAACACTTTCAATCACTGCGCCTCCGGGCCGACTGCATGACGAGCCTATAAGACCTGACAGGAGCGAACTACATTGGTCGGCACTGTCTGGCCTCTGTGCATCACTAGTCTATTGAATCCGCCATGGAATTATAGAATAGTTGATTGGTAGACAGTCCGGAGCCTATCTGATATCCTCTAGTGCAAATTCTTGAACCGACCCTTCCTCATGTATAAATACTGTCTTCGCTGAATTTTCGTTCACCACAACCATCAGTATCACGATCTTCTTCCCTGGAGTTTGATATCTCTGCCTTTGCGGGTATAAATCCTGATATTTACATTAAAATACCAATTATCCTTTATCTCCACCCCATTCCAAAACTCAACCAGGGCATTGGTATCTAATCGCGGCGTCTTTTTGCCTTATCGTGACCAGCAAATCACCAGGCAACAAATGGAATTTCTAGAAGCACAAGTTCGTGGTATGTCCTCGTAAAATGCGCTGATGTTGCTGCCCTTGTGGTGTCATTAAATTCACACATTTTAGATCTATCACTCGCTGTAACCACAACTCCACCACGCACAGCAGTTCGGCTCAGATCCAAAGTTCGCAGGCGATTTTACGAACCCATCGTGCTTCTTGTGGCTCTCAACAAGACTTGCAAAGACAATGCATCTGCTGAAATTCATGAGCAGTCATTGGATATCACCAGATCTTCAGAGACCGCCTTCAAGTGCTTTGTCAACAAATTGGGCCATATTTGTGACTCAGAACGTGGAGGAGCCACAGTGACAGCATTTGCATTGTTGCGATTGCTAAACAATAAGTTTCAATACCGCTTCGCATCGAACCAGCTCGCAGAAGAATTTCTTGAAAAGGCCCGTCTTTACATATCGCAAGTTCTCAATCTACTGGGACAGACAGAGACTGAGAACCTTCGAAGCGTTGATTCGCAACTTTTGCGAATGACTTTGGATTATTGCAACGCCCGGGTGTCAGTTTACGTCCGAGGAGTTCTTTCTGAGTCAAGCCATTGCGTTGAACAATGTGAGCGAGATGAGAGGAGTAAAGGTATTGTTTACCTGAAGTCTGAGCAAGATGATCCACAATTAAGATCCTATGATTATAGAGACGAAAGGACTGGCTGAAAGGCTCACCGAAGTGCATACGCTAGCGTCTATCATCAATGAGAATGCCACAGAGGAGAACTATCCATGTAAAAACGTTCCACTTGCACCCTTGTGAGACAAATTATGTGGCTAAACTGATCCAATATTAGTTGCCAAAGATTGTGAGCGTCTGATTCGAGCTCTGGAACTGCTGTACAAGTCGGACTACGCAACACTCATCGAGAACAAGCGCACCAATACTGAAATGAATGACAGACTGCATTGGAGTGCATTCCATCATGCAGCCGGACGCCTCCGAGCCTATTTGCACGCCATCCCTATACTCATCTCTGTGCGTCGGCGTTGGCCAGAATTATTCCAGAGTTTCGAGGTCAAGTACGTCCCTTCCAGCAAGCCGGAGCCAAATCCAATGCAAAGCGGCAGTCGCAGAGGAGGCGTATACGCCAATGAAATCATTGGCAGAATGACAAGCAACAAGACGATGATCGCAATGTATAGGTCGCACGCTGAATCACTCCAGCAATATGACCTAGACGAAAGAATCCAGGAGCACTCGACAAATAAGAGATTCAAGCCCATTGTACATGCCGAGGCTCTTCTCCTGGACTCTTTGGTGACAGACAAGTTGATTAATCCTTCTAACTTCTTCGGCGGCTGGCTTTACATTGGTTGTAGCAAGCCCACCTGCCGCTTGTGCCACTACTTCTTCGCTGCCCACCCAAGTGGCGTTCAGGTCCGGCCCACACACCGCAACATCTACTCCAACTGGAAGATGCCTGATGTATACAGCGATCAAGGGCCAGATGCTCCGAAGCAGCGTGAGCGCATCATCGACACGATGTTGGTCTCAATCCGGGAAGACGCTTTCAGAATGCTGGAACAGAAGCAACCAGAGCGTAAGATCCATGACTCCAACGACGACCCGACGGAGGCCATCTTCAGTGTTAGTAGTGTGGCACCTGTAGATGATGATGACCTTATGTCAACCACAGGGATGCTTTCCCTCGAGTCGAGGCAAGACACTGATTCAACACTGACCCTGGTTGATGATAAGACGTTATCGGACAGCGCTGATAAAAGCACGGACGGAGAAGAAGGCGGCGCTACTCTGTAGACGGTGTACAAGGACAGAATACATGTTATAAAAAGCGATTGACGAGTTGGGGATGGTTCAAGCAGTTTCCGTTGTCATAATCTGCGATGGGATCAATAGCTATGGTACATGGATCCTAGAAACAAGGCGAGGGTGAAATGCGCAAGGTATCCACTCAGTCAAGTATTTAGACTAGAAACCCACTCCTTTAGGGGCTTATCATGGCATCCACCCTGGAATCTATGTCCCATGAATCCACCTTTACACTTGCTTCTTTGTTGCAAGTAGAAGTATCACATTGTCCAATTCATCTTTGGGATTTCCCATAAATCCCTTTCTAGGCCCTTCTCCGCTGTTTGCTTTGCTTGTGTCACGCCCCAAATGACCCTACAGTTCTTCCCCGCTCCGCGTCCCAATAAAAGTGGCGTGCTCGTGGTTCCTGGCGGAGGCTATGGACACGTGTCTGACCACAAGGAGGGGCTTCTACCAGCCCTTTGGCTCAACGAACGCGGTTATGATGCATGGGTTCTGACATACACGGTTGCTTCTGAGAAGACGCCCAGTCCAATATACCCTGCACCTCAACGAGAAGCAGTAGATGCGGTCCAGAAAATTCGCGCACAGGAGCGTGTCACCAAGCTCGGCATCTGGGGTTGGTCTGCAGGTGGCCATTTGAGTGCTATCACAGTCACCAATATCAATGTTGACCTAGACTTTGCCATTCTAGCCTACCCAGTCATTTCGATGGCGCCTGGCACAACTCACGATGGATCTCGCTGGAATCTCATAGGAGATGATGCTTCACCTGAATTAGAGAGCGAGATGTCGGCTCACAACAAGGTCACGAACAAAACACCACCAGTCTTCTTGTTTCACACTGCCAACGACCCTGATGTGCCGGTAGCAAACTCCCTCCTTTTTGCAGCAAAATTAGCAGCATACAAAAGACCGTTCTCGATTCTTGTTCTCCCTGACGGTCCACACGGGGTTGGACTCTCGCTTGATGACCCAAAGCTTACATGGACAGGAGAGTTGGGACGTTGGCTCGATACCTTTGTTGCGAGTCTCTAGACTTCTAAGTGGAGACTTGCTCAAAAGAATGCCGGGCGGTTTGAGATAATTGGTAGAGATGCAGGGTTGCTACAGCTAGTTGATTGCTTAAATTAGATTTTTGTGTATGAATGGAATGTCAAGAGCTTAGAATCCCGCCAATATATTGCTTAATATTATTATTTAACCCACTATAAATCGCCGTATTGCAGCGAAGTAGAATCTTTCTGATATGGGTTGGTTGGTTGATTATGTTAACCAGGCACAAATTAACTTAGCCCCTCTCAAATAGTAAATTAGAAGCCTTTCATTTTTACTACTCTAATGGCCTTTTTTTGGTAAGTGGCTGGTGTGATAGCTGTCATTAGGATCACTGCTTCAACTCGGTATTTCGAGAAGGTATTTGGACTTGGGTGGCACCTAAAGTAAGGCTATTAACTTCAGCATCTATCTCATACTATCTACACTGCTTGAGCTTGGCTTGCTGAACTTGCTTAAAAAGAAAAAGGACAAACTGCCGCGTAAAATGCGGGGAAGCATCGCCAGGAGACAAAGTGTGGGGTAGCACTCCGAGCTCTCCGGGACCCTACATGCATGAAACCTGTACCAGCTCCTATCGATAGCCGGTCATACGGAACTACCACTGTTATAGAAACAGGCTGGTGCTACGGATAGGGCGTTGATGGGAGCTCAGTAAAGCCAATTGCTATAAGTAGGGTAATGTAATGGCATTTTAGCATTCTCTCATACCAGTAGTAAGTCATTCTCGTGTATTGTTGATCTTAGAGTTAGGTTGAGGTAGCGAATATTGTGCATGACTGTTAAATTTGACATACTCTTCAGGCGAGGTCTCACGACGTTCGCGTACCTTCTGACGATACTTGACCCAAGCTTTCAAAGTTCAATGAAGTGAATAGCCTTTGTACTCCGAGATCCGCTAGTCCTTCATCGAAGTACTACAATTGGAAGATATCAAAATCCAGCCAAACTACCGACAAGTGGGATGGCCGAGTGGAAGAACCATTGAGACTCGGCAGATCAATTAGCAAGGATATCCTTGCGAAAGCCGGCCTTCAAAATACACACCGAGATTCCATATAAATGCTAATCAACATAAGGCGAACATAAGACATGAACAAAACCATTTCTTCAAATAATATTTTCTATACGATCCAACTAGTCTTTCGTATATAGTTTCGACATGACAGCAGCTGTCGAGAAAACCGATGAATACTTAGGTCTTGAATCCAAATGGACAATTGCATATGACCTTGCTGGCTCTAGCTTACCTTGTCGACTGGAAGGCGAAATAGCAGACCTAGTGGTGCTTGGTGAGATTCCAAAGGAAATTGATGGAACATTCTACCGTGTCATGACGGATCCTCTCATGCCTCCGCACCCAAAGAATGTTCCTTTGGATGGTGATGGGAATATATCAGCATTTCGCTTCGAGAACGGCAGGGTCGACATGAAAATGCGATATGTCGAGACGGAACGTTATATCCTGGAGCGCAAGGCCAACAGAGCTCTGTTTGGTCTGTATCGAAACCCGTTTACTCATCATCCTTGTGTCCGTGCCGCAGTAGACTCAACTGCAAATACAAACCTGGTCCTCTGGGCAGATCAATTCCTTGCTTTAAAGGAAGGCGGTTTGCCGTATTCAGTGGATCCCCACACTCTCGGTACTATTCGATATGATCCCTTTGGGCCCCAGATTCGCGCGAAGACATTTACCGCACACCCGAAAGTGGATCCTTACACCAATGAGCTTGTTGTGTTTGGTTATGAGGCAAAAGGACTTGCAAGCAGCGATATAGTCATTTATGCCCTCGATAGCAACGGCATCAAGCACGACGAACAGTGGGTGAAATCGCCGTGGGTCGCTCCGATCCATGATTGCGCCATTACTCCTCACTGGCTCATTCTGTGCTTGTGGCCATTCGAAGCAAGTGTGGAGCGTATGAAGAAAGGAGGTCACCACTGGGCGTGGGATTACAGTCTCCCCGCTACTTTCATTATTGTTCCGAGACGATCCTCCACTCCCTTGCCCCTGGGCTGGAAACCAGGAGAGTATCGTGTCTACCACTGGCAAAACTCAATGCTGATTCATACTGCTGGTGCTTGGGAAAGCGAGGATGGCGGGACACTTTATCTTGAGACATCTCGTGTTCATGACAATGCCTTTCCGTTCTTCCCTCCTGACGATGGACGCATGCCTGCGCCGAATGCGAAAGCGGACTTTGTGCGCTGGACATTTGACTTGTCGAAGGAAGGTGGAGCTGTACCGGATCCTGATGTCATTCTAGACGTTCCATCAGAGTTCCCGCGTCTAGACGAGCGCTTCCTGTCAAAACCGTACGACGTGGTGTTTTTGAACGTGTTTATCCCCGATCGGGCGGACGGCTCAGGCAAAAATCTGTTTCACGGCCTTAACGGCCTAGCCATGCAACGTCACTCAACTGGAGAGACTCGTTACTTCTACGCTGGTGATAACTCTCTGGTTCAAGAGCCTATATTCATCCCGCGGTCCGAACACGCAGTCGAATGCGATGGATGGGTGATGGCAATGGTAGAGCGCAGAGAAGCTAATCGAAATGACATAGTTGTGATCGATACGAGACATTTCGAAAAGCCCATCGCGATCATAAAATTGCCTTTTCACGTTAAAGCGCAGGTGCATGGGAATTGGATTGATCAGTCTAGATTGAAGGAGCGCAAGAGACTAGTAAGGGATCCCGATAATGTGAAGATCAGTGGCCTTGGAGCACTGGAGCAATTGTAGGCTATTGCTTCGCAAAAGAATGGATAGTACTGTAACAGTGATGACATTATGGACATGAGGCATATCCATCTTTGTCAATCGCCACTATGACTGGTGTTATGTTGAGGACTATATTGCAAAGCTCTTTCTCCTCTCATGATACTACTAATAACCTAGGGCTAGACTCAGCATCTAATATTAATCTGGTCAAACCCAGTCGTCGCCAGTGTCTCACTCCACTCACACACCCTTGCGCAAAGGTACTGACCACTAGAGGGGGCTGAATTCGGTTGCTTTATTGAGTCACAGCCACACAGACCAATCCTTCCGGCATGTATTCACTCCTCGCTATGTATTCGACTCTAGCAACATCGGCACTTGTCTAAATCAAGGGGTGCTAGCAGTACTGAAGCCCTTGGGGCAAATGTCCTGTCAGTTCAGCTCTAGGGCGATGAAATTTGAGAGCTGACTGTCTATACACTTATGATACATTCAGCAAGCTGGCTTCAAACGTATCCTTTGAACCGTATATGCGAATGTGATTACTTAGCATCTGGTTTAAACATTACAAGACCTATCAGATAAGAGCGTTCTATAATATAGGCTACGACGTTCATGAACGTAGTTTCTTACCTTAATCCGAATTAGAAACACCGGTTTTACCCTTACTATGAGACCTAGAATAGGTAGGAGCAACTATGAAGAATATCAAAACGATTACCATTACTAACGTAGTATAGATTTTAAATACTGCCTAATTCTACCGTCGCCCATCTTCGTACAGAGGCCGGTACGGCTTCTTCCACGTGTGTAGCGAGTATGTAAAGAGTGTTGAATGTAGCTCGGTTGAGGAGCTTCGTTCTGCCACTCTATTTCTGAAGCAGTCAACAATGGAACATAAGAATCGTTTCCTACACTCCACACATGGCAGATTGACCTTCTTCCTCTTTTGATCTCAATCATATTTTGCTATAAGTTCAACCTCTTCTACCTCTAATGCAAATTGTCTAAAAGGTATTTCTAAGCATCCAACAATACCTTCAACTCCAACACCATACTGCATGAGAGTTAGGATGCCAAGCAGCCTGTCTATTACAACTCCAGTAAACTTGACAAGACAACTACATGTTTTTGTCTAACTGTATGTGCAAATAATCGAAAAGTCACAGCCCTTCTTCCGCTATCTTACTAGATATCGCACCAGTCAACCCACATGACGCTCATCAACTAGAGGTTTCGAGAATGTATATATTAAGGCGATTGCTGCCACCACAGTATTCACTACTGTTGCCCGCACATGCCATACTGCAATCATTTTGATTAGCAACCATCACTGAGCCGGCTTTGAGTTCGTCGCCACAGTAGCACTGCTGCCCGTACTCCACACCAGATATGGTATTTCCCGATTTGTGGCAGAAGTCGACACAGGTCTTGATTGTCATTCCGAAGGTGGACGAGGAGCCATAAAGCGTTGCAGAAGACAGGGCTCTGTCTGCGACCGAGTCATTGTAGCAGCCGACGTAGTTCCATATGCCGATGCTTGAATTTCCCACTTGGAGAGGCTCGGCGTACTTCATCGAGAAATGTGTAACCGAGTTGACCCCGCTACCCGACACGAGAGAGTATACGTTCAGACGGTCGCCAGCACCGCAGTACTGGGTCGTGTTCGCTGGACATGGCATGTTACAATCATCCTGGTCTGTTGCCAAAGCCGAGCCTGCATTGAGGCTGTTCCCACAGAAACATTGCTGCGCGTATTCCACGCCAAACATGGCGAAGCCGTTATCAAAACAGAAGTTGGAACAGACGGCAAGGTCCATATTATTGCTTGATGAGGTGCCATAGAGATACATGCTCGATAGCGCGCGGCTAGAAGTGGCTTCTGTGTAACACCCTTGGTACTTCCATAAGCCATTGGTCCAGTCTCCTATCTCTAGTGGCTCGGGATACTTGGTGGAAAAGGCTGAAGCAGTGGCTGAAGCGGAAGCAGCTGTCGAAGATGTAAACGTTGACGAGTTACCAAAGTGGTAAGTGCTTCGTGGAGAGGCAGTTGCTACTACTGAGGTGATTGCAGAAGCTGGGGCTCGGCGGCTGGTGCTAGAGGTGCTAGAGATTGGGCCAGTAATACGTTTGAACACATTCAGACGAGACGAACCGCCACAATATTGTAACTGGTCACCGGTGCAGAGATGATCACACTCGCTCGCCTTTGCAGCCACCGAACCGGCATTCAGTTGGTTGCCACAATAGCATTCTCGCGACCACTCGACACCGAAGTAGGCGTAATTCGCACCGCAGTACGCCTCGCAGTTCTGGGCCGTCATGTTTGTACTGGAACTGTAAGATTTTGAGCTGAGGGCTCGCTTTCCGGTAGCCTCGGTATAACAGCCGATTGACTGGAAAAGCGAATCCCCTGCGTATACAGTTGGAATAAACGCCGCCTTGTAGAGGGTGGAGTTCATCTCGTACATGTTCAATCGGCTGTGGCCCCCACATATCTGCCATTTATTACCACTGCAGTCCATGTCGCAGTCCGAAGAAGTTGTTGATACCGAGCCGGTATTGATGGTATCGCCGCAATAACACTCCTGACCGTATTCGACACCGAAGTACTTATAACCATAACAGAACGCCTTGCAGGTGGTAGCAGTCATATTGGTCGCGCTTGAATACGAAAGTGCAGTCAGAGCCCGGCCGCTGCTAGCCTCCGTGTAGCAACCAAGCGGCGAGTAGGTCAAATCACCTGTCCACGGCAGAGGAGGGCTAGAAGCGGTGGCGTTGCATGCAGCTTGATTTCCGCCAGGACATTGCATATCAGCCGAAGTAACAACGGCGCCATAACCCGAGGGTGTGATGCAGCCGGGGAGCTTGCTTATGACGCCGTCAACTGGTTCGCAAGGGAAGATGGGGCTTCGTTGCGGGCAATCGCTTGCCGAATTCGGGTTGTTGGACGCGTCAAAAGCCGCGCAGTTCTCAACCACGCCATCAGTATTGCCGATCAAACACTCATCAATGGCCCGAGTCAAGGTAGGTATGTCCCAGCCGTTGAGGAAATCGCCGTGAAATGCAAAGCCAGTCTCATCGCCATTGGCAAAGACAAATTTTCCACCAAGCCCTTGGAACGAGGTGACGGAGTAGAAGACTTCGTAGAAGAGATGAGGGAGCAAAACAGGGTGAGTTGGGGGGCAGACGCCATTGTCGATCTGACTCAAATGTGCGACATGTGACTGGTCTGAGAGATATAGGTTCTTGCCGTCCCAGCAAGTTTGCATTTGTATCTGAGCTCGAAACCCATCTGGACAATTCATGTTGGTCATATTGACAGTCTGGGATCCCTGGTCAGGGGTGTAATTAATACAGACCATGGAAACGGCTTCAGAGACGAGGCGAGGAGGGTAGGTCGAATTCCCCCACGTTTTCGTCGTGAGGTCTTGGGTGCGAGCCATGTTATTGCCACTGAGCATCTGGAGTCCCGGTGGGAAAGGGGTTGCCGTTTTGTTACCATAGGCATCGGAGCCGCGACCTAGGTAGTAAACAGTCATGCCACTGTTTGGCACAGCTTCGTAGCTGCCATCTGTGTGAAGATAATAAAGTGCCGGAGTCCAGTAGGCGGACTTATCGGCCTGGATGGTACAACTAGTACATTCGGACTCTTGAAGACTGTCGTATGTAGAGTCGATGGAGATACTAGAACCTCCAGCGATCTTGTGAGCGTGTTGCGATACGGAACCGGGACTGATAACCGGATCAACACGTCCGAACTGGATTATACCACAGCTCAATAGAAGGGTGTCAGTGGGATCTAGAAGACGAGAAAACAGTAGACCGGTACATACTACGCCAGAATGCATCCACTCGCCCAAGTTCAGCAACGATCGTAGCCGCAGCCACACAGAATATGCCGCACCTCATGGCGGACAAAGAGTAGGGTGACCTCAGAATGGAGATCTATGCCGGTTTGGGAGGGGTGATCTTCCATACACCGTGCATACGTCAAGGTGAGAGGGACGGGGTTTATGTAGATCTCCCGACGTAGGCACATGTCAAGAATGCCAACACGCGCAGGGCTGACAAGGGAAACGGCGAACAACGGCTCGACCAACAAGTTCGGCCGTGCGAGTCAGCATCTGTAATTAGAGTTTCAGGTTTGAGACGTGCTAGTCGACGGTGGTCCCTGATCGAATGGCTTCTGGAGCCGGCGCTGTCATCGTCCCTTGGCCGAAGGGTCGGTACGTTGTGCTCTAGGCTAAGGTGAGCATAGCTCGTGAAGTATCTGGAATGCCGGGCAGTATGCGTCATCGAAAATGGGATCTGGAATGGAATCCAGGCTGGTATGTACGTATGGCATGATGGTAACCCTTACAAGCCAGGCTGGTTCGGCCTGTGTGTGATTCAGAGCACCGGGACCGATTGACCAATGGTATCATGGCAGTATGCATCTGTACGGCGTGGTAATGTGTGAGTGCGCATAGCAAGGACTACTGCGGTACATTAATGCTTATTATGACCCTTGTTGCAGGCCATAGACATATGGAAGGGAGGGTGTTGTTACTCAAATTTGCGAGGGCTAGTGTGGATATTAGCCAGCATTACTGAACCCCCACCCTGTGGAGCTACGAAGGGCGATGCCCGACACCATTAATCTTCCCGTCCTCACGTGGTCTTACATAGTCTTTAAATACAACCCACGTTCTCTCTGAGTCAAGGTCTCAGTCTCCGAACTTGTCCAGCATCATTATGCTTTACTTATGTCGAAAGAAAAGATAAGAAACGAGCAAGAAAGAGAGTCTAGTTTGAAAAAATATCTCGAGAGTGGAGTGTAGTACTACTTTAGCAATGGAATGCGTTGAATGGCGTACTTACTAGCCCGGAACTACCTAAGTAGTGAAAAGTTTAAGATCTCTAGCAATATATTCATAGCTCTAGCAACTCTGGCTGTGCCTGTTGACAAGGTCTGTTAATTATTAAACGGATAAGTCTGTATGTGGAACTTATACCTTCTCCGATTGTGCTGCCTTACTTACCACAGCACAGATTGTCCTATTTGCCACATTTTACCCAGAGGTTTCAATGCCTTTATATAGCTGGTACAATTAGATGGTAGTGTTTTTACAGAAATTAGGATTTCGATTTCACTTCAGCAAAGGCTATCCCGATTACTACCCTAAGATGTACGGCGCAATGGGCGAGCGAGGCAGACGAACAGTTGAGACTAAAACGTTTAACGCGAAGAAACTTGGAAAATGGCAGAGGTTTCTGCCCCCTACGCGTGCGCCATTAGCAAGTTATACGAACGACGCGCCAGTGTTAACTCGGCTTACATCCTCTGTCCGGGCGTTTGTTCCCTCAACCAAGGTGGCCGTTCCGGTGATACTGAAGATGCTTTTCGGCTAGGAGCTGACCAACATGGGACGCGGCTTAGTGGCTCAGCTACTTCATCTTAACTTCGAGTGCGGTATCGATATTCGTCTCGAGACCTCTTTAGAGGACGTTCTTACGGGGCCTAATGACGATATCATCGGCGCCAGAGTGAAATCGAAAGACGAGACCCAAATCATTATCACTTCAAAAGGTTTTATTCTAGCTGCTGGAGGCTTTGCACGCAACAAGATCATGCGTGAGAAGTATCATCCCGCTCCGACAAGTATAGAGTGGACAAGCTCCCCAAAAGGCGATACGGGAGATGCTATCCGCGCCGGAGTCAAGGTTGGAGTAGCTACTGCCATTATGGAAGATGCTTGTAGGGGCCCTACCACTATTGACCCCGTAACGTTTTTTCCTAGCTTCGTCCTCTTATGAAACGGTGAAAGCGGTCCCTGTATGGCTGATCATGGACAAAAAGCACCGAGACCGATACATGATTGGTACCCAACTGTTTGCTCGTATGGAGCCGAAAATCGCTCTGAAAAAATGGGTTGATGTTTAAATCCAACAACCTTGAGAATCCGGCCTGTCAGATTGGGGTAAACCCAACTGGCCTTAGAGACACTGTCCAACGGTATAACAAAATGTGCAAAACAGGAATCGATGTAGACTTTGGCAAAGGCGACAATGCTTATGATAATTTCTTCGGAGATCCCAAGCTTCTGAGAAGCCAAATCCAAATCCAGGTTCATTGAAAAAAGCCCCATTTTATGCCATTCAGATCTGGCCCGGAGATTTAGGCACAAAGGGTGGTCTTTTGACGGATGGATTCCAGCAAGTTTTGAAGGAAGATGGAAAAGTCATCTCGGGGCTTTACGCTATTGGGAATACTGCCGCAAGCATCATGGGCCGAACTTATTTAGGAGCAGGGTCAACATTGGGTCCTGCTATGACACATGGATTTATAGCTGCTATCATTTAGCATTTAATCAATGATATTAAAAGGGTAGCATTCTAGAAACATCCGCAACACATCTACTACACAGGTCTACGTAGCAGCAGCAACTGCTCATTCACAAAGAAGGAAATGGGCAAGTGTAAGATCTGGACAGCAATGAGTCGGTAAGAGAAACGTTTCATGCCATATTGATCAAAATAAATCATTATTTGTGGCTTCTGTATATGTACTTTGTATTTAGTCATTCTATGACATTTACTGGGACATGAATCCCTTGGCTTCCCTCGACCATGTCAATTAGCAAGCTTCTGCCAGACATAAGTCTATGCAACAGTAGCCGAGTCTTAGACGTATGTTATCACTGGTCTTCTAGACAAATATCCTACTAGCAAGTAGTCGGATCACCGACACCCAAGTCCACAGCAGCCAATAAAAGCTCCATGAAACCAGCGCCCGTCGCCTTGAGATTTGAGTTGTACTGTGACACACTGGGGTAGAACGGACAGGAAGCCGCACTGTTCGCTTGGCCAAACTCAACCGTATAAGCGTGAACCAAATTCTTCGTACTATCGGCAAAGTGCCGCGAATATGCGTAGTCGTCGCTTGCGCCCGATGTTGGGTAGAGATCCGCAGCCGGTATGACTGAGTAGGTGCGACCACCACCAGAAGTCAGGCCAGCCCCGATCCGCTGTGCTGCTGCCAAGTTGGTGCTGAGTTCGTCTGAGGGTGTGTATTCGCCGTAACCGCCATTCGTCCCCGGCGTGTCAGTGAGGATCCCGCGGACCTTGTTGTACGATGAGTTCCTAAAATTCATGTACGAGTACTTCGACTGGTTCTCATCACTTCCCCAGCTATACAAGACGTCGCCCGCGTAGGAGTGCAGGTCGATAAACCAGCGGACCTTTGAATATGTATCAAAAACCCATTTGATATTCCTGGTCTCCGGCTCGGAGAAGGCACTCGTGCCGTGAAAGGTCTCCGAGCTTGGTGATGTGGATCCGGCGCTGGACTGGACGCTGGAGGCGAAAGAGCTCAAGTCCCAGAGAAAGTCGAAGTTGCGGTTGAGATCAACTCCGGTGGAAGAGCCTGTACCACTGGCAGGGTTACGGTTCTTGCGCCAGCAGCTGTTGCTCGATTGGTCGTAGCTCACGCCATCTGGATTGCTTAGGGGGATGAACACAATTCCGGTCGACAAGGCTGATTTGACCTGTGCAGAGGTATATGTCTTTGAACCGTACGTGATGCCGACATTGTTCTTGTTCGCATACAGAAGGTCCGAGATAAAGTAGAGTACGCTATCCATGGAACCGCGCTCCCTTGCGTGTATATTGCCGTTCAAGTACACGCGGTAGGCGTTCGTGCAATTGCCACTTCCTCCGACCTTGGCTCCAAGTACAGTTGCACCAAGGTAAGTTTTGTAGGGAGTCTCAAATGTCTCGATTCTGTAGGTGTTTACTAGGCCTTGCAGACCGCTCTTGATCTCAGCCACGTTGAGTAGCGTACTAAAACTGGTGCTTTGAGTTCCAAGCCCGCGGGGAGCAGTTGAACCACCGCTGAACCGGTCTCCCGTACCGATGGGCGTGCCGGTCCCGGACTGGCGGCGAACGATTCTCTTTAGTCCATCATATGAGCGCTCTTCCGGGAGAAGACACCCTTGAGACACTACAACGAGGACGGCAAGAGCCCACCAAAATAAATAGTTCATACTGATGATCTAATGATCTATTCCAGCTGAATGTACGTCGTAAACAAGTATGCTCCTATACGCGCCGAGACTCAGCTTAGCTTTAACAAGCTCTCTTAAGTATAGCACGAGACATACCGTTTGCCTTATAATAATTCATAGTTTCAGGGTATCTCCTAATTGTGGCAAGTGTGATTTCTTCGTGATGAGGCTTAGCAAATGATATTGTCGAATCGTTATTGTAAAAAGAATGCTAAGTTCGGCGGCCTTCCACAATAGGAAAGAGATCCAGCAAGTGCCGGGCAAGCTCGCCGGGGCGTGATCTAATCCAGGCAGGTTGCTGTGAACCCTATACAAAGCAAGAGCGATTGGCGCAACGCCACCAGAGTCGTCCTCAGGCAATCGCTTACGAACGTTTGGGTAGCATCAAAGATAATGCACCGACGCTTGGCATTCTTGGCGCAATGAGACTCTTGTTCTCCAGCACACACTGAGTGAGGGGCAGGCGCTAAGCAACGAGTGGTTTTCTTGACGAATGCCACCGTTTTAAGGCCAGTCGATGCGGGCACTCTAGTTCCTCAAATACTCGATGGAGTGGCACTATCATTCATGAGATGTTTCTAGATGAGTGTTGGAGCAAATAAAATGTGCAATGTAGGCGATATAATTGTATAATTGGTGTCAATCTCATGGTTCGACTATCTCTAAATCTCTGGATTCCCGTTGTGTTTGATGGCTGCAGCGATGCGGTGGTATTCATTTATAATCGCTTGACCGCCGGTGCCCATTCTTGCAAAGCTCTTGGGACGCGTAGACTCTTCTCCTATCATGCCATACCTCGATAAACCAGTTCTTAAGTAGACCAGAGCCGAAAACAGTTGGGCAATGTGTCTTGGTCCAACTTCGGAGTCAACGCAGACAAGGCCTTGGCCATCTTAGTGTTGTTGGAGAGGGTTTGCCAAAATACAGGACCATGCCAGGCCCTCTTAGACCTAGCAAACAATTTAAATCCCACTAGAGAACCAGTAAGATTGAATTCCATATGGAATGAAATGTCCGAAATCAAATTTCTTAGCGTCCACCGGATCTACTGAGCCTCAAGGCGGAGCTGGACGACGGCTGCAGTTACAAAGTGGCATATGCTCAACTTAGCTATCATGGGCAAATATAGTGTTTTGAGCATGCCCCAAAAGTTATTTGGGTTGATCATGTGGTAATGCTCTGATCTAGTCTCTTGGATAACAAGCCATAAAGCCTTTGACTATCAACCTTGCATATTCTCTATTCGTCATGTCTTCTTCCCTACCCTGTGTTATTCCCTGCCTCATCATACTTAATCCTAGCTTGAAATAATGTGTAGTAATACATGGCCTACCAATATCGGGCTATCTGATAAGTGTGTGGCTACTTGCCTTGACTACTGCCAGGCTACAAGCCGCCTCCTGGTTGATCAGCATCCTGCTCTGGCCCAGTAAGCTAAGATATTTGAGGTTAACTCAATCTCACAAGTCCGGATATCATTGAAAGTTATTGCTAGCTATAATCTGGAGAACGATGCTTTCAATTCGTATGTGCGACAGGTTAATTTAATCGTTCTATATGTTCATACCTATGCGCCTTGTTACTGTACAGGTTTTGCCAAATTAGCCTAATCCGGCATTGATGAAATTGTCCAGGTCCTTCATGCAATGGCCTTATGAGTTAGCAATGACAAAGTCAAGAATAGTGAGATTGGGTCCACTCCAATTCTTTCTAGCCCAAATGAACCAAAGGGCGAGGGTAAGAGCAAGCACGACCACCATGACCGGGCCGCAGTAGTTCATGTTGGCAGCAGTGACCGGCAGAGTGGACGGGAAGGGGAGAAACACTAGCATATAGAGGGTGTAAAGGAGCGCGAAAGAGTTGACGTATCCCCCGTAGCGCCCGAGGTTCCACTCGCCCAGCTTGAGAGCGTCGGCCTTGAAGCGGACATATAAAATGCTACTGATAGCAATGGCGTAGCTGATATAGAGCGCCATTGATGATAGAGAGGTGATGGCCCCGAAAGCAATGTAACTTGAGCTTCCGATGTTCAGGAGACAGAGGGCGCAGACAAGAAAGACCGTGAAAACGATGGAGCGAGTGGGCACGCGGTGTTTGGTGCTGACGTAGGCGAAGTAAGACGGCATGCCACCATCTCTTGCCCATGCCCAGGTTAGACGAGAGACAGACGCGATATTGGCGAGGTTAACGCTGAAAGAGATGACGAAGAGCCCGGTTACCATGGCTGTTGTGGCAGCCTTGGAACCCGTCACACTAAGAAGGATGGTCAGAATCGGACTCGCCGAGTTAAGTGCGTCGTCAACCGAGCCCATGGAAACAAGAATGACGTTGACCATGACAAATCCGAGGCAGCCATTCATGAAGATGGACCAAAACATGGCACGAGGCACAGCAGACTTGGCTTTCCGTGTCTCCTCGCTCATGTGGATGGCACTATCAAAACCTAGTGGTTTCGTTAGCTTTGTTATAGTCGCGGTGCTGTGGTTCAACGAAGTCAAGCATACCAGTAAAGCTCCACACGCAGGTAAGCATGCCCAAATTCCATGCGATGAATGTATCGCTCCAGCCAGAGGCGACGTTAGACTTCAGCCAGAAGCTAGAGTCGTGCCTAGTGCCCATAGCACACAAAACGACGACGAAGATCACAAAGAGACACACATGGAGGACACCGGCAATCAATTCGACCCAGGGGATCAGCCAGAACGCATACGTGTTCATCAGGCCCTGGAGTACGGACATGGCGATCACCAGAACGGAAGTATGCCAGCCACCCGGGACATAACTCTCGTTGTTGAGCTGAATCATGGACTCTAACAAGATGATGGTGACGTTTGCGATGCCTGCAAGAAGCGAGATATAGCCGAACCACGTTGACCAGCCCTGAACGTATGTGGCGAACCTTCTAACCCGTGCAGGCGCCAGATGGTAGGTCCAATGATACTGTGCGCCAGCGACGGGCTGGATCGATGCCATCTCACCCAAAGACGCAGCCTGGGCAATGGCACCGCAGAAAACAATTATGAAGCTGAAAACGAAAGTTTGAGGACCACCATTGTAAAGGGCAAAGTACATGTTTCTATTGTCGCCACGTTAGAATGCATCCTTTTATTCACCGCTCCCGAAAAGGCTCTGAACTGTGTTTATGGGTTCTACTTACGTGCACATACCCTCCCAAAGTGCCATGTATGTCAGGGAGAACGCAAACAACTGAGAAAAGGAGAACACTCTCCTAGTCCGCGTCTGGTTATACACTTCGGATCCTCCATCTTCGGGCTTGATGGAGACCTCAACGTTGGAAACGCCCTTGTTGGCCGGTCGCAGTTCTATGCTTTCCGGTTGAGCCATTATGGACTTGAAAATCTGGGGAAACGAGAAAGTAGAAAAATGTGCAGATTGGGAAGTGATCGGACCAACAGACGCGGGTGAGGGGTTAAGATCTTTTGGGGGTGAAAGCCTCTCTATCTCTGTTGGTTGTCTGCAACGGCCAGCTCTGTCTCAGATGGTCAGTGGTTGCACAGCGGGTATTTAATATGTTCTGTTGCCACGAGGGATACTTAACCATTCACGCGACAGAGAAGCCATGTAGGTCGACACTCCTATTATGGCCTTGACGGTGGGGACGCTGGAAACTGGCCGCATTAGTTTTAGGTCGCTTGACGAGATTTGCCTACTGTTCCTGCTGACGACTAACCTAGTCTCCAGTCAGAGAAAATCCTGAATTGGCAGACGCTGGGGGCCACTTTGAGAGCTGCGTTGCATGCAATCGGACATCTTGGAGCACTCTCGGAGCCCCTAAACAGTTGCGCTGCATCGATCATACAAGCTACCTAGTAACTATAGACCTCGGGGAGGGCCTGGCATACAGGGATACTGAAGGAATACTATGCAGTAGTTCTCGATAAATTCCGGCGCGCACCCACCAACTATACAGGGGAGACCCATGCATGTCGTAATGCATGCTACGGACGGGGATAGCGCAAGACCGTTAACGGGCCATTCCTAATAACGCCAACGAACAACTCCCACAAGCAAAACAAAGCTTGCAGACAATCTCCTCTCCTCTCGCGTGGTCGAGCAGACGGCCTTCTAAGGCTGGCAACATTTAGCAAGACCAACCTCACGGTTCTCAGAAGCTGACTTTTCTACGGAGTGAGATGTGAAGACACCTCGGAGCAGACAATACCCTGTTCCATAAAGTAAATATTTTTTTTATCGAATCGTTAGAAGCTAACGTATTATGGAGTACCGTAGACATATAAGCTGCCCCGTTCATGAACTGGTTCCTCAAAGCAACTAGTGAATGTTGGTTGGCTTACGTAGCATGTTTGGTAAGCTGCTATTGGCTATCGACGACCAATCCAGTGGGTAGAGATTTTCTACAAGGTAGGAGAAGTCCACTGCATGGTAACAATTCATATGCTCTAGCGCTGCACCCTTGATTAATGTAACAGCCCCCGTTGGCGACCAGAAAACGCTCTGCGACGTTGGGCGACCGGACAGCTGCACAACCTAAATGTGTTAGTACTTGAGTTTGTTCAGAGCCGTTCGTTGTAACTTTGGGAAGATAAAAACGATTATAAATCTTCTCGAGTGATTGATCGAGGAGAGCTGCACATTTGCGAAATTACTAGATATCCAGGGTAAAGGCAGTGATTCTTGGAGCGAAGACTACACTCTTGGAATGGTTCCTCATGATCGCGATTGGCCCATTCTATTGATGAAGAAAGATGTTACTGCGCTGTTACCAGTAGCGAAACATATCATGCGACCTTCTCTCAATGCAAAACAGATTCCCTGCGCTTTGGGAAGGATATTAAGACGTAAGTTATGATCATAGCAATATGAAGAAGCCGTTTTGAAAGCATGCTATACAATAGTCGCACTCATGCAAAATACTTGGTCAAAAGGAGGCCGATTGCATTGACAAACTACTTGGGCATCCTGGGTGCTCTGGCTTGGGATTTGTTCGGGGTTGACTACGCGCCCCAGGGCGGCGCAAGCTAATAAATTCAGAAAGTATGACTGTGATATTACCTACGTATGCATCCCTGCATTCCCAGTGTTCCATTCAGGCTTCTTCATTATTAGCGAACTAGCAGTATTGACTCGAACTTGTTCTCAGGGCCAGGTGCTACAGTACCATGCCAAGCTCTTCCTCTTCTACCAGAGCATAAGAGGACCCTGACACGCTTATTAGTAACATTATAGAAGAATGCAGGTCCTAGTACCCCCGGGCCTGAGCTCATTCTGATACGGTCGTATGCAGCTTGTTAAATGGCTGTAAAGGATTTCCCCCTTCGCACCCCTTCCTTTGGACCGTGTCGATAGCTTATACACAGAAGTACGCTATTTTCCCCAGGGGTCCCATCACAATGGCACTCGGATCGGGCTACTAGGATAAGCCCATGACTCGTCAGTGAAACTTTCCCGGTTTGTCACGATGTCTCGTGGGTGAACAGGGTCCACGCCATATTGAGACTTCCCCTGGAGATCTTGGTAGGCCCTGCCATGAAAACCCGCCGTGCAGATGTGCAAGAGGTGTAAGAGGTGCAACCAAGGAATGTTGTTCCATGGTATCATCGATCAAGTATCACACCCAAAGTGTATGGCGTTCGCCCTTTGTTAAAGGAGGTCAGCAGCCCCGTTCGATGGAGCTGAATGAAGGTCTCAGATCATTACTCTTTACGACTTTTCACTGCTCAGCACTGGCCTACAGATTATTCTAACAACATGTCGGCTGACACAGCGGCCCCTCCATTCTACGCTCTCACAAATGACAACCATGCTGCTGTGGTAGTTGTGGCGGCCGTCACCTTTCTAATTTACGCCATACTGGGCATCGGCGCGAAGCTTCTCATCCGTCTCAACATTGCATCTTTGAAAGGCCATGACACTGTGTTAATAGCAGGAGCTGTTCTCTACTTTGCTGAGACTGTTTGCGTTATTGTTGCGTGCAATAATGGTCTCGGCCAGCACAAGGACGCCGTTTCTCTGGATGTATTCGAAGAATACAGCAAGGTAGGTGAATAGAAATAAATTTGTAAATACCGTTGAAATTGGCTAAAGTCTCGCTCAGTTGATATATACCTCTCAAGTTCTTGCATTACTTGTCGTTTCATGCACCAAGATCTCGCTTTGCTTGCTTATACGGCAAATCAACAGGCAAGGACGATTGCATCTTGCAAACACGATTCTCGGGGGTTTCATCTTCGTCTGGGTTGCGAGCGGGCTGTTCGCCGTTTTCTTCCAGTGTCACCTACCATTCCCATGGCTGGCACTGACTGAAGAACAATGCCCGAGTCGCGGACCGGTCTTCATTTATAATGGTGTTCTGAACATCTTGACCGACCTCGCTCTTTGTATCCTTCCGGTTGCCATGATGTGGAATGTTCAAACCACGATCCACAGGAAGATGATAGTCATAGCTCTCTTCGGCTCACGAATTATGTTAGTTCTTTCCGTCTACAATGCTCCGTTTCATCACTAATCTGGCTCCTTAGTGTCCCGATTGTCACAATCCCGAGTCTTTCAAACGCTTCATATCTCTTCCAGGATTACTCGGACTCTACCTGGCGCGCCGTTCCCAGCATGATTTGGTTCCAAATCTCCCTCGGCCTCTCCGTACTTACTGCCTGTATTCCCAGCATGAAGGGTATTATTGACAGTCTCATGGGTTCTACCTCGGTAGCTGCAATCCAGGCGCCTTACGAACTCCGGGACAGCGGAAAGAAGAGTGGCCTGGAGGCTACAGCTCTTAATGAACCGGGATCAAAGCAAGGGTCTCACGGGTCCGACCGACGAGGCAACTTCAAATTCAATAAATCTGCGAATCATTCAATATGGACTGCAGATCGGGAAATTTCTATCAAGCACACTGGAAAGGTGAGCCCTGGAGGAGGCGAAAGTGTACGAGGTTTGACGGATGGAGTTATTGTTGTTCGCGACGAATTCGAGATTCACTATGACGACAAGAGGCTGTCAAGTTCACGGGATGGTTCACAGGAATCTTCGGTTGCCGGATATCATCATGTATAATTAGCCTGTATTCTGTCTGTAACTGTTCCATGTGTGCTCAAATGGTAGCTCAAACAAACAATCGTGCCAAAATAGAGCTCCGTTTCCTCGGTTCGTCATGGTTCGAAGCTTCCCAAAAGGTTCCATACCACGCATTCTCCTGCCACAGCATCCAATATAGTGTCCAATTGGCAGCACTTCCAAAAAGCATTGGTAGAGTGCGTAGCGCCGCTATCCTGTAACAGGTCGATCAAAAAGGTGTGGGAGGTTGGAAAGGGGCTAGTTGGCGATCATGCTTCTTGCCAAGTCCAAGTCCGCTGCTTCTAGCGGCATGCAGGACGGGATGGGTGCCCTGTTGCTCGCCGAGTAAATTAACGCAAGTTTTCTTTTTTCCTAATGTGACATCTCTTCATTGTGATCTTGTCATGCCCCATGCTTGATACTCCGGAACGTGCATGGAACGGACTGGGGCTAGCAAATACGATATTAAACTCCGTAGTACACTATAGATCGTGGTCTATATACGCCCTTCCCATTCTGGGATGCAGTTCATTCGCTCGCCATCAAAGTGCCGTGCCACAGCTACACATTAGGTTAGGGGTGGTTGGTGTGCGAGCTTGAAACGAACATTAATTGGACCAAACTGGCATAGATGCTGGTAAATGCTAAAACAGTTGGCAACGCTTCCAACGAAGGATTGAAACAGCAGCGAACTGTGAATCCTACACTCGGCCGGGGAGAGTGTCATGCATTGTCCCTCAAAAACTCCTCTTCCTTGAATGTCGGACTCCTCTTCTTCAAGCTGTGGGGGGTAGGACTGGCAGCCCCTGGTTGGACCCCTAGTAATTTGCAACCAGGATTGGGACGCCAGGAATGCAACCCACACCAACGTTAACGTTTTTCTTGGACCAATCGGCAGCACTTCCGGTTGCAGAAGAACCCCACCAACCCAGCCTGATGTTGAAGCCCAAGGCATGAGAACCAGGCACTTGGATAACAGAACAGGGACAAACAGCCGAACTGACTCGGTCTCTGATCCACGGCTTTAGGTTCACTGAGATCAGACAGGGTTCCGCTGCTGGTATATACTTTTGCTTGACAATTCGAAAATAGCAATCAAATTATCAATAGGACTTAAAAACCGTAAGAGGAAGGTTGGATACCGAACAGCCGCTAGAACGTAGAGCGCATGCGAACTTGAAGGCTTCAATATTCAAGCCCACCGGATGTAACAGTAGCGCCAGAACCAGCTGCGCGGCAAGTGATAAAGCAGAGAACTGCCCTGTTTGCAATACAAATAGAAGTATACGACGTATAGCATGCCTAATACAGACAGAAACCACTCCTCCGACAGCCGGAGCTGGATCGTCATCCATGAGCTATTATTCCTCCCCGGATAGCGTGAATGGCACGCCGTAATTATTAATTATATTTTTTCCCCTGGCAATTACAAGCTGCGTGTGTTCCGTTTCTCAAACTCTAGAACCCGGGAATCAGGACCGGGAACTCGGACATAGGAACACCACAAAGGAGTGGGGACTTGTCAGCGCTTGCTTGGTTGATGTGAATAACCTCATCCGTCATATAGACTATTAGGAAGTGGCTCAGGGGCTAACCCAGCCAGGAGTCCTCGTCGTCTTCGTAGGTCTCTGCCATGCTCGATAGACCCGCGGCGCCCCCTTCGTCGATTGCCACCCACTCAATGGCTGACGATGACTGCCTGTACAACAATGAAGCTGCACCGCTATTACCAGATGCAGAGCGCCACGAATTCAAAGGCCCAGTGGACAGCTGGTGGGCAGAAGTATGGCTTCTAGCAGAATACTCCCTCCCTCTCATCGCGACCTACCTCCTGCAGTACTCCTTCACCGTTATAACGACCTTCGTGGCGGGCCACCTCGGCGCGGAGGACCTCGCGGCCGCCAGCATCGGCGTCACGACGATGAATATTGTGGGCCTGTCCATCTTCGAGGGCATGGCGACAGCCCTCGACACGCTATGCGCCCAGGCCTATGGCTCTGGCCACGCCACGGGCGTCGGACTTCACGTCCAGCGCATGCTTCTCCTCATGCTTCTCGCCGCTCTCCCCATCGGCGCCATTTGGCTGTGCTCGCCCTCGGTCCTGCCCCTGTTCGTCCGACAGCGAGAGCTCGCCGTTAAGGCGGGCGCCTTCTTGCAAGTCAGTCTGATCGGACTGCCCGGGTACGCATCGTTCGAGGCCGGCAAGCGATTCCTGCAGGCACAAGGTGATTTCCGCACCGGCATGGTGATCTTAATCATCTGCGCGCCGGTCAACATCCTGCTGGCGTGGATCTTCGTCTTTAAGCTCGAGATGGGCCTCAGCGGCGCCGCGCTGGGCGCCGCCCTCACTAACGACCTCCGCGTCGTCCTTCTCCTCCTCTACATCGTCGTCTTCGGGACGTGGTCGCACAAATGCTGGGGAGGCGTCTCACACAGTACCCTCTTCCGGGACTGGAGTCCGATGGTGCAGCTGTCTCTTGCGGGCTCGGCCCTGACGCTGGCGGAGTGGGCGGCATTCGAGATCCTGACCTTTAGCACCTCGTACGTTAGCACCGTGCACCTCGCCGCGCAGACGATCCTGACCACCATGTCGGTGATCGTCTGGCATGTTCCTTTCTCCGTCAGCGTCGCTGTTAGCACGCGCGTCGGCCATCTGATCGGTGCGGGCCGGGTGTTGACCGCTCGGCGGGCCGTGGTGCTCTACGGTGTTGTGTTTACGGCGATTGGGATCTGCGATGGTGCCTTCCTCATCTTGTTACGTGACCGTCTCGGACCAATCTTCTCGGATGATGCCATTGTCCAGGATATCGTCGCTAAGTCCATGTATGCGGTCGGTGCATTCCAAGTCTTCGACGCCATCATCTGCGGATGCAACGGAACACTTCGGGGTCTCAGTCGCCAATCTGTTGCCGCATGTGTCGTCTTCGCAGTTGATTACCTAGTAGCGGTCCCTTTCGCGATCTGGCTGGAGCTCGGCCGGCTGCACTTGGATTTGAACGGTGTCTGGATCGGTCTTGGCTTGGGAATGGTTGTCATTGCCATCATCGAGTGTACCTACATGAAACTTATAAGTTGGCAAGACTGTGTCAACAGTGTGCGGTTGAGAGAGGAGACGTAACGTAGCTTTATCGACAACTGTTCTGGATTGTAGCGAAGGATATCTTATGGTAAGCCTTTATTTTGAACCTTAGCCGATATTTTGACCTGCATTGCCTCTGTACAAGTTTTATATCAATATAGATTACTCATATGTAAGTCATGCTTACTGCATTGAGCACTCATTCGCTTGTATATCGTAGATGGAATATACGGGAGCCGTAGCTTTCGTCGCCCGTTTGGTTCGCTGTGAGCTCCGTAGTGTCTCAAAGCAAATGGATATGCATACTTTATAAACTTTGATACAGCCTGATGATGAATGACAGTAAAGCCAGCAATGACGAACAACACCGGGGAGCTCCAGTGGTATGAGTGTTCAGATTTTGGATCAATGTGTCATGTTGGAAAGTGTTTCACGCCTACAAGGAGCCGGTAATTGAGAACCAATCTTTATTCACTTCTACATCGTTCTAATAGTAGTATTAATCGATTCCGCATAAAGTATGTATAAGAACCATAACTACTGCTTACTCTTATAACTCTTTCAGAGTGGTGGTGTGGCCTTCTATATATTGGAAGAGTCCACGGAGGTCTATGCATTGGGGGGTCGATCGGCGCCCTAGACGGGACCCTTCAATATCGTTACAGGAAAGACATAGACTAGCGAGAGTTTTTTTCGGCCTAGTTCAATCTCAACTTCAATTTTAGTAACGTCCTTCTCCAAGTTATCATTGAATCGATATATGCACGAATCTAAGAGAATATGGATTCCGCATCTTGAAGCGCTAGTTTGAGATTTGTCTGTGTATTATGGATGGTGCACAAACCAGAATGAGAGGGTAATAGAACTAAACTATATCTCAAATAACATTTCGACTTTTGGTAGTCTCTACTATTGGCGAATGTACAGTGATGAGTCTCGGCACTATTCCTTATCGAAGCTGCTATGTGACTGTGGCATCCTATGCTTACCAATGGGGTGCCGCGAGGCTGCGGATGTGGTACAAAGAGCCTGCAAATGACCTCGAAATGGGCCATTGCCACTGACATGCCTGCACCCCATGGGGGCTATGGCAGCATGGGGGTGTTGACGTTGTTAGAATCCGGCCAAAGTCCCGCGGCTACTCACGGCCATCGGAGCCATTTTGTTCGAATGGTGCTGTTTATGTGGTTATACAGCCCCAATTGAACGGTTTCTTCTTCGAACCGTCGGTGAAACTGGTCAGCGATGATGCGCGTGGCTCTGCAGGTCCAACGAGGCTGGAAGCCTGAGCTAAGTTTAGCATCACCGACCGAGCGCTTTAGGTGCAGAGAACTGTATCATGCTTTATCACAAAGAAATCACGATGTGAATCATCAAGATTTCTCCCACTTACTTCTAAACAATAAGTTGACGCGATGTCGCAAGTCCATATCCCTCGCCGCCAAACATTCATCAAGAAGTCCGTGCCATCAAGAAAATGGAATCCATTCAGGCCATTTGATTGGGATGCTGAGGAGCCTGAGACCGCACAGCTAGACATTGAAATGCAACGAACGAGGAACCGTTCTGTTCCATCTAACCCAGCGGATGAGAGTAAGCTGTCAAAGAAGACTTTATAAACACAATAGTCAAGCATATTGACACTTTTCAGTCTCATCTCTCCCTCCGTTAATTGCCGTACACACCAAACAACCGATTAAACAAGGCCGACTGTTGCAGAATATTTCGTTATCCTCGCTCCATATTCAGCATGTGGAACCGGTTACTCCTTACTCGAAATCTAACCAGATACAGCGAACCCTAGTCCGCGCTCCCATAAACGCCTTACTGATCTGTGTGCCCATTGGATTCGCACTACATTTCATTGACAATAAATCCATTGCGGCCTTTATCGTAAATTTTCTCGCCGCGCTACCACTGTTTTCGCTAGCGGAAGTCGGCATGACAGGAATCTCACTGGGTTGGAGAAGTCCTTGGTGGATTGTTATATCTTAGCGCATGGTAAGCAAGTCGAGTCAAGAGTGGAAATCACGCTAATTATTGCAGCAATTTAAACCCAGCTTATTTCGTGTGTGCTGCTACTTATACGTAAAGAGACGGCGGGTCTCAGAGCAACCCTCACAGGCTCAATCCTGGCCAACCTTTTATTCATCCCGGGACTAAGCTCAACGGTTGGCGGTTTGGTCGACAATCGTGTATATCAATACTTCAATCCAATCATGTCTCACGTATAGTCCAGCATCCTGTCACTGGCGACTACAAGTCTTCTCATTCTAACGGCTTCAAAATTATTATCTCAGGCCACACCGAAGAATCTGGCCCGTCAATCACGCAGAGCTTCCGTTGTCCTGATCGCGGTTTACATACTTTTCTTGGTCTATCAAATGAAGACTCGCAAGCAAGTATTCAAAGAAAAGTCCGAAAGGGCCCCCGGAAGCGTGAAACACGTAAGGCATCGCCTTGGATGGATCTTCAACTCAAGTGTGGACGACCGGGGAGACCAGCGAGCTCCGGAGAACATGGAGGATAGGGAAACGCCGACTGGACATCAGCACGACATCCATGATGAACATGATGACGACGAGGAGAGACCAAAGCTTCACGGAGGCGTGGCCTTAGCGTTGTTCGTCATCTCGACAATCTCGCTCTTTTTCAGTGTTGAGTTCATCGTGGACAGTATCGATGCACTAACAACCCACGCAAAGGTGTCCAGAACTTTTGTGGGCCTGGTCCTGTTTCCACTCCCAAATTGTGATTTTGCTCCAATAAACTATACGATAGGAGATAAATGGATGTTGTTATGAGCTACACCATCGGCAAATGTCTTCTGACCGCACTTCTTGTCACACCTTGTGTAGTCCCTCTTGCCTGGTGGCTCGGCGTTAACGACGTCACTTTAGTCTTTGATGGTTTCCAGTTTGTCAGCCTCTTTGCGGCGGTGTTGATGTTAAATTCTCATATCATCATGGGCCGTGGTGGATGGTATATGATGACGTCCTATCTCATCTCCGAAATTATGTACTAATCGTTGATGATATAGGATACACTGTGTTCTGCTCTTAGCAGACTGGGCTTTGATAGCAATTGTTGCTTTCTATGTCAGCTGATTTAAGTGCACAAAGTTTGACAACTGTACCTAGGAACGGTACACTCAGAACCTGAACTAATAGCCGCTTACAGCACTTACAATTTTGTCCTACTTTCAAGTGACAAGTCAAGACTGAAAAAGGCAATATGACACATATTCGATAGTCGGATAATGCTACCTGGTGGACATCATCCTATCATGAACGCTTTAATCCTGTTGTTGGGAAGTTAAACATCTCTTTCGGCAGGCACAGGAGGTGTTACCTATGCCCCCCAACTCACATGAACGGGTTTTCGAATATCATGTTATCCACAGCTCGGCAGCTGCACTACGAAAGAAAAGCTGAGCGAAGTGATAAGAGGTGGCAACACTAGCAAGGTACCTTTACCACTGTGCGTCCTAGCAAGATGATCGGTAGTTTTGCACTGGCTGGGATGCTTTGCGATTGCCACAATTCGGTTGATATTCTAGCCCAATCTCCCCCACTGGAATAAGAGGTGGTTGCCATGAGCTGACAAGTTGCAACCTAACGATGTAGAAACATGCAGTTCCTCGCCTTAGATGCCCTCTTTGACCTTGTCATCCCGTAGATCTTACCTTGTTTTGGAGATTTGCATAACGGTCGGAACGGTTCTCTCCATCCGGCTGCACATCAATGTTATCGCTTGTAGCCAATTAGCCGTGCTTGAGTTTTCGGTTTACATCCTTACCCCACTTGAACCCACTACCGGCATGAACAGACCACTTGTCGTAGGCGTTTTCATGTGTGTGGGCGCCTTCATCTGTTGACCTATACCAATAGGATTCCCCATTTGCGTCTTCCCCTAGGCTCACAGCATCCACAGGATTTAAGGTTTGGCGCAGACTATGAGAGATTCAGCGATCTAAGATGTCGGAAACGGACCATTGCATGTGGAGTTACTATAGCTCTATATTCGAATATTTGGCTTTGTCGAGATGAGTAAATATAAACCCCTTAGCTACTTTTGCGCTCATTCTTCGCTCCTTACAATCACTGATCGACAAACTACTTAACCATCACATCACTGTAGAATACAAACTGCACGTACAGCTACTGCAACTACTTGATATGGTAATTAGTCGTATGGATGGTAATAGAAGTCATTGATTAGACAGAGATGGCAATCAGAACGGCGAGCTTCCGACATCCACTAAGTCCGAGCTAACCAAGTGAAAATAATCAACGGTTACACAAACGCCCCTCATGCATCCACTACCCGACGATAGTCCATTGGGCATCTCCTAATGCTACATCATAATAAACATTCCAATTTCAAAATGCTATGGTATGACAAAGGTCCTGACTAATATGGGAGTAACAATAAGCACATATTTGGGTTACATGACACAGAATGCAGGCGCCCCACCACTACCTTGCCTCCACAGCGACCAACGAACTCATGGATTCTGATTCCCAAGAGCAGGATGCGATTTCGTCACTCGTTCAAAGTACCGATGACCATTTTACGCCTTTAGATATAGTCTGTGATCTCCCCCAAAACATCTGAAACATCGTTTCATCTATTATTCGGCGCCTGAATAACTATCTATAACGAACGTCTCCTAAATACTTACATCATGGCTAATATCGACCTCAAAAGTCCGTTCTTCTTGGGCGTCGTAGGCTCCCTCTTGGCAGTTCTCATCTTCTACCTTGGCCTTCAGAAAGATGTTAGACACAGGCTTCCTCCCGGGCCAAAACCACTTCCACTCGTTGGCAACATATTGGACGTACCTCCACAGGGAACACCTGAATATCAGCACTGGATCAAGTTCAAAGATACATACGGTTCCCTTAGCTCTATTAGGGTACTCGGCACGACTCTCATCATCATTCACGACAGAGAAGCCGCCCATGTTCTGTTGGAGAAGACGTCGATGAAAACCTCGGGGCGACCCAAGCTATACTTTGCTAGCGAACTATGCGGTTTTGGGATACTTTTACCAGTCCGACAGTACGATGACACGTTTCGATGGCACCGCAAATTAATACACCAAGAGCTGGGGACCAGAGTTACTGCACAGCGATTCCGTGACATCCAGGACGTAGAGTCACATCGTTTTCTTCTAAGGATTTTGAATGACCCCTTTAAATTGATGGAGCATATCAAGACGTAAGTGTTTCGCGGCAACGAGCAGAGAAGGAATATTCAGACTCGATGAATAATATAGCTTACTTGTTGTTACCAGTGAGGCCAGCGCTATTATCCTCAAGCTGACATATGGTTACTCTGTCGAGCCACACACTAGTGACCCATTGGTAACCTCGATCGAGCGTATGATGTACTATTTCGGCCTTGCATTCATGCCTATGGCTTGGCCAGTTGACGTCATACCAATCTTGAAGTATCTTCCGGAATGGCTACCAGGCGTATCTTTTAAACGAACAGCCCGTACGTGGAAGAGAGTCAGTAGCGTGGTCATGGAAGCTCCATACGCTTTTGTCAAGCAGCAAATGGTGGAGGGGAACCACCGGCCATCATATGTAGCCTCCCTCGTCAACTCACAAGACATCGAAGATGATAAACATGCATCCTCAGAGGAACGTATCGAAGATGCAATTAAGTCAACAGCTTGGGTTATATTTGCAGGGGGTGCCGATACTACAGTGTCAACGGTTACTAGCTTTGTGTTAGCAATGTCACTCTTCCCAGAAGTCCAGCTGAAGGCGCAAGAGGAGATTGACAGAATAGTGGGCACTGGCAAACTCCCCCAGTTTGATGACAGGGAAAAGCTCCCGTATGTCAACGCGTTGGTCAAGGAATCGTTTCGCTGGCTTCCTGTTGTCCCGATAGGCACGACTCATGTCGCAGAGGAAGAGATCATATACGGGGAATATCGCATACCGAAAGGAGCATATCTGTTACCTGCAATCTGGTGGTTTTTACATGACCCGCAGACCTATGTGGATCCATCTTCCTTTGACCCCAATCGATACTTGGAACCTCGGAATGAACCAGATCCAGCAAGCGCCGCTTTTGGATTCGGCCGCAGAATCTGCCCTGGTCGGTTTCTGGCGGATGAAAGTGTGTTCATCACCATCTCCCGTCTGTTAGCTACATTCAATATCAAAAAGGGTGTTGATGAGCAGGGGAGAGAAATCAATCCTCAGGTGGATGTTACACCCGGCTTAATTAGCCGACCTCTCGACTTCCCTTATAGAATCAGTCCAAGAAGCGATCAGCATGTGGCCCTGATCAAGCGCGTTGAGATGGAACATCCATGGGAAATGAGTGATGCGAGTTTGCTCAGACAAGACATCATTAATGGATGAGTTGGGTTGATAGAGGAATTGCTAGAGTAGCATGAGAAAATTTATTAAGTGACGTTTCAATAACATTCAACCTGCTCTTCCCTAATGATAAATTTCTGCTGCTTTTCATTTGTCGTACCGACATTCACGAAAGTGAATAATCAACGGGTCGACACAGGATCAAGACCAATACTATGTCGAAAGGCCAGAGCTCCCTGAAGGCATTCACAATAGATGAGCCAGTAGTCTCTTCTGTCAGTGTAGTTGTCGAAAGACAGACAAGAGAATTGCTCGCCGTATAAGGTCCCAGGGCTGCAACAGAGTGGGATGTCGAGCAAAAAGCCAGCTAAACCAACATCGTTCGTTAAATCTGTACAGGCTGTTGGCAAGGCCGTTGGATAGGTTGCTTCCAAAGCAGTTGTACAAGTAATAATGGATGCACCTGTGGTCGAAAGAGTAATCACGTTCGTGGCAAGACACGAGGCAGCATTTCCAACTCCGTATACTCCAAGGGCCGTGATGCAAAGCGGTACGTCCAAGAGCAAATCCAGCCCATTAAATGACTCGAGATCTGAGCAATTCATTGGCAAGGTTACGGTACACGAACCCGCTGTTGAAGTTGCTGCTGGGCAAGCAGTGGCAACGACAGTGGTAGTAGGAGTGGTGTTAGGGCCTAGGGCAGCCTCTAGACAGGAGACGATACTCAACCCAGTAGTAGTGCTGATTATGTCTGTTGTCGAAAGACAAATAAGCGCCGATCCAACAGCAAAAGGGCCCAGGGTTAGAGTGCAGGCTGGGATGTTGGCGATCAGGGCCAGGCCATTCTCGGTGCTCAGATCTGTAGATGCTGCTGGAAGTGACGAGATATAGGTCGCCGAGAGCGCAGTCTCCAGACAAGAGATAATGGTTGCTCCAATCGTGGTAAGTCCAATGCTCGATGTTGTTAAGCATGTCTCTGCGCTTCCAACAGCGTATGGGCCGAGAGCCGTAACGCAGAGTGGGTATAGGGCGACAAGTGCCAGGCCGTTGCTGCTAAACAGGCTCTCGCACGCAGTAGGAAGAGACTTGACGCAGGCCTGTGCAGTCGCGGTAGTACTGACTGTGGCGAAGCAGCTGGTAGCAGATGTAGAGCTCGATACAGGTGCGGAACTTGATGTAGAAGAGGCTGACAATACTGTAGAGCTTGAAATCACGGATGAGCTTGAAGCTACAGTAGAACTGGATGTTTCCGTGGCACTTGATGCTACCGTAGAGCTTGAACTTTCTGACGATGTGGAAGCAGTCGAAGAGCTAGATAGATTTGAAGAGCTTGTTTCAGAGCTACTTCCCGGTCCGGGTTGGATGCTATATCCACTGGTGACGGTGTCAGATGATGTAAGAATGCTTGATCCATCAGATGTCGATGTGGAGGTTGAAGAACTTGAAGAAGGTGCCAGTGTCAGAGTGAGGGTGTTGAGCCTCCGTATCCTTCATTTTTAGTTGTATAGTTGTATATAGTCCAGTGAAAGTAGATTGGGCTGTGGTGGGCGTTTGGACAATCGCTGTTCCCATGGTCCCAGAGCCAGAAGGTGGCAATATCAGTGTCAAGGATGTAGATCTACTATATCCTCCCGTAATGGTAGTATATGGGCCAGTGAAGGTGCCCGGCCCCGTTGTGGGTGTCTCGATATACACTGTTCCTAGAGAGCCGGTGCCAGAAGGAGGAAGGGTGACCGTAACTGGCGTCGATCCACCATTTCCTTCAGCGATTGTTGTGTAGGGCTTAGTAAACGAGGATAGAGCCGTAGTTGGGGTTTGTATAATGACCGTTCCAATACTTCCAGAGCCCGAAGGTGCTAGAGTGAGTGTGAGAGATGTCGAGCCACCATAGCCTCGCATAATTATAATATATGGACCAATAAAGGTGGAGGAAGCTGTAGTTAGAGTCTAGACGTAGACTGTTCCGATGGAGCCAATGCCAGTCGGTTGTAGCGTGACTGTCACTGGTGTTGATCCTCCATAGCCTCCTATGACGGTGATATAAGAGCCGGCAAATGCTGGTGAAGTCATAGAAGGTGTCTCAACAATAATTGTCCCGATTGTGTCAATACCTGACGGCGGCAGAGTAACAGTAATTGGCGTTGAGCCACCATAGCTGCCCATGGTGGTCGTATATGGACCCATAAACCTCAGGAAAGCTGATCCAGGACTTTGGATAATTACCGTGCCAACAGTTCTGGTGCCAGTTAGCTGTAAGGTATATACTAATGTCTATGCCCCCGTTCCAACATAATGTCCAGTAATGGTCGTATAAGGTCCGGTAAAGCTGGAAGGGGCTGACAGCGCAGCGAGAACAGTACCTAGGACTCCAGGCACTGATGGTGGGAATGTCAAAGTGCGCAGCCCGGGGCCGTTAAGATCAGTAAAATAACCAGTAAGAGTTGTATAAGCCCCAGCTGAAGGCTTCGTAGCACTATAAAAAGACAGGTTAGCCGATTAATCGTCTAGTAGACTTCATGTATTAGTCTTACCTCGTCAGTGTGGATGTAATAGTAGCCACACAAGTCACTACAGTGGACAATGAAATAGGAGCATTCGTGATACTTAGAGTGATATCCCCGCCAAGTCACTAGGAGGGGTTGAAGGTGGTCTAGGCACCAGCCTGTTACAGACACTCTTACCAAAATAGGCAGAGAGCGATATGAAGATCGTTTATATACTCTTAAAACCTACTTAGGAAGTGATCAGAGTTAATAGCTAATGAGTATCATTATTTAAAAAGTTAGTACGATTATTGGCCCGCTTTTCACCATGTATAGCACATACCTCAAGATAACATTCTTTAGTCGTATCTTCATCTCAAAGTGCATTCACATCTCGCATGCACAAAGTTCACACTTGATTCAAAGTTTCCTCTAGAGCTTAGGTTTTGTTCCTCTAGAAGGCAATCAATGAACTCCTAGTCACCTTAATCAATCATTCCGTGAATTTCACACCGACCAAGGTCTAGGCAGGTTGAAAACAACATGTATGCGCACTAGAGAGTTTGATGTTGAAAACACGAATTCTATGCCGCGTGTTACCAGGTTCAGCATTCTCTAGCTGTAGAACACTACGCGACGAGATCGTTCCTGGGATTCCCTTCCATTAGGGATTCCTCGATTACCCTAGGGCTTCTGGGCGTTGGAGTTGGATTGGTTCTCAGGTGTTATGTAGTCCCTCAGTATTGTGTAATTGTGACGGTATCTTTGATCAGTTCATTCCAGTGTCCTAGATACTATGTATTTATAGTGGGTTGTGTCCAAAAGACAACAAGACAACAAGACAGGCTTGAAAATTCGGTAAAGGTACCCTGGCATTCCAGCTGGCGAAGAATGCCAAAACCCACAAGTTGCAGTCTTGTCCGCTTTCATTACATTCCGAGCCTTGTGGAATTCTAAAGCTTTGAACTGTTATGTTATTATGTTGCGCATAACCCGTTATGATTTCAATTGACTGCCGAACATCCCTTTCAAATCTTGGAAACTTCTCCTTTACCAAAAGTTATATCGACATTATTTAATGACCTTTTGGGTTTTTGTGACGGCTTTACGTCGTCTCCGCCGATTCGCAGCTTCAAAGCGCTCCAAACCCCTGGCAGCTCGTCGACATCACAGCCAGAATGAGGCTGAGATCCACCGCTGTCTGCGGTTTTGCATTTCCTATTCTAATAAGGGCGCAATCGTTTAATCTGGGCACGGCTGCTACATTCGGAGTTCTTGGAGGATCCACCGTCACAAACACCGGCTCCAGTACCATTGTGGGTGATCTTGGAGTTAGCCCCGGCAATGCGATCACCGGTTTTCCCCCAGGGACCTATACCGGTAGCTTGCATAACAACGATGCAGTTGCCAGCCAAGCTCAAGCAGATGCTCTGACTGCTTACAACAATGCTGCTTCGAGAGCTCCCACCAGATCCTTGACTGGGCAGGACCTCGGAGGCCAGACGCTGACTGCGGGCGTCTACTTCTTCAGCACTTCTGCTCAACTGACGGGAACACTCATCCTGGATGCTCAGGGTGACTCCAGTGCCCTCTTTGTTTTTCAGATTGGCTCCACCTTGACAACTGCCACCGGCGCAGCTGTCACATTGATTAATGGCGCCCAAGCCTGCAATGTAGTCTGGCAGGTCGGGAGCTCAGCGACTTTGGGCTCCAACACAGCGTTCAGTGGTATTGTTATAGCAAACAATGCCATCACGGCCAACACAGGGACGACAATAACTGGCTCACTTATTGCCCTCAATGCCGCCGTGACTCTGGATACCAACCAGGTCGCAGTCACTGCGTGCGCTGCCGCTACCTCCTCTCCTACTGTCCCCGGCTCTACAATCCCAGCAACTACAATCCCAGCAACTACAGTCACAGCAACTACAGCCCCAGCAACTACAGCCCCAGCAACAACAGTCCCAGGCACAACGATCCCAGGTACCACCATCCCAG